GGAGTACAACATAATCATTAATGGAAAAAAGCAAATTATGCAAGAAACTTCAGGTTTAATCTTTTTATCTTATCTTATTTTATTTTTTTAAATTGGGTCACGTGACAATAATAAGCGATCGCGTTAATGGCAACAGAGTTCGGATCTTGTCTCCAGGGTATCGTTTGAGATTCAAACGGAATGCAAAGGGTAGAAAAAGCTAGTGAGACTTCGTTTCCCAGAATGCTCTAAGTGCTGAACCGGATATCCGCTCTTCCGTCCCATAGCGAACCAACGTCCGCTGCACGTGGAAATCCAAGAGAAAAGAGCGCATTACAGCAATTTTTGCGTTGTTTTCGATATAAACAGCTTCGTATACATATTTTGAACCCCTGAAGTGTAAAAACAAACCAGCTCGGTCGGGATGTTTCTGCAGTATTACCTGAATGAAAACGGGGACAGAGTCTACACTCTGAAGGTAAAGTTGTGTTTATCTCCGACATGTTTCCCTTTATTCTTTGTAAACGCGTCTCCGCTGCTAACGTTAACGTAGATGTAAAGAGCTGAAACACCTGGGAAAATGCCCAACTTTAAAATATGGTCTGTTTTTTTTATATTTATGTTTGTATACAGTAAACATTACAGCAAAACGTTTCGGGGATTTTATCGTCACGAAGCCACCATACGCACAGTTTGTACAGTCGCATACGTTTAAAAACCCGAGTGGAGTATCACTCGATAATTGTCATAGCTTGAGGTAAAACTGCTTTGAAATCAAAATAAACACGACAAAATACAAGACGTATGCGTTTAATTAAAGCTATTAAGTAGTAGGTCAGTGTAATATAGTGAAATATGTCAAATTGAGCAAGTGAAACATAAAAGTAGGTGGCTGAAAGTAGTAAAACACGACAGTTAACAGAGTTTATTGGGCAGAAGTTAAAGTAGGCTTTGGCATGTAGCTCAGGTGTGGTGGGGCAGTGTGACTTTGCAGAAAGTTGGAACAACAGTTTTCTTTAATATCTGTAGTGGACAGGCTGCTATCTGCTGACAGCCCGTCTAGCGCTTGACTGGTCACAGCAGAGCCAGCTCTATAAGCAGCTGTATTAGAAGAGCTCATTATAATTGTCGCCCCAGTAAATTTTGTATAAATGTGAGACCACCCTTAATCTAATCCAACAACGAGGACTGCACCTCTTCACCGTAGTCCAGCACTGCTCTGGAGTGTGCCTCAGTAATGCAAACCAACCAGGTAACCTCAGCGAGCAACCCATGCACAGATTCAGTGTCTGATTTTCAGGTATCATGAGATAATTTGGGACGTTAAGCTTTCAGTTTTATTTGTCATATCGTTAGCTTCATAGCATAAGTGCCTAAGTCATTTTTTGGTCAAATTGAAAATATCAATTAAAAATATGCATGTGATATTTAGAAAATTAGTTTTGTCTTGTTTTCCGAAAACACAAAAAAATGACTTAGGCACTTATGCTATGAAGCTAACGATATGCAAGTTAGCACAGGGTCAACATCGCAAAGAAATGTATTTAATGAGCAGAAGACAGTCACTCAGCAGACTGGTACAGTAGAAAAAAATAAAATATAATAAAAATAAATAGAAAAATAGTAAGAGCAAAATATTAATAAATGTAGTAAAAGAAAAAAGAGATTTTCAGTTAACTGACTAATATATATATGTTGTGTGTATATATAAATATATGTACACACTAGTGATTAAATAAAGAAAATCTTAAATAGGAATGGGGGGGGGGGGCAGATGGGATATTGCACAGGAATGAGCAGCAGTACAAACTAAACAGTACAAAAGTTTTTGTTTTTTGTGGTAGTGTTACAGTATTGCACTTTTTAAAAAAATATAAATACCAATAAAGTGGAGTGACCAGTGCAGATTAAACAGAGTACTTGTGAAGCTGCAGGGTAGCTTCTGAGTGCGTCCTGTGGAGAGTGTGTGTTTAAGTGTTGTGGTTGAGGTGTCGTATGGCTTGATGGTAGAAACTGTTTTTAAGTCTTGTAGTCCGAGCAGACAGACTCCTGTAACGTCTGCCAGATGGTAATAAGGAGAAGCGCTGATGTGCTGGGTGGCTGTGGTCCTTGATGATGCTGTGTGCTTTACAGAGGCATCGCTGGAGATAAATGTCCTGAATGGCAGGAAGCCTCATGCCAGTGATGTGCTCTGCTGCCTTCACCACCCTCTGTAGTGATTTACGGCTGCTGGCAGAGCAGCTTCCGTACCAAACTGTGATGCAGCTCGTCAGCAAGCTCTCGATTGCACACCTGTAGAAATTTGAGGTGATGTTGGCGTTCAGCTTGGAATTCCCACACAGCTAAGCAGTCCTTACCTTAGAGCGTAACTCCTGCTTCCCCTGCGGTCCGCTCTTGCTTCCATCTTCCTCCATCTCTTGAGTGTGAGGTTATCACACATTAACTTTTAAGCAGACAGATCCTGGGTTAGGACTGCACAGACGCAGTTTCTGTGTTTGGTGGTATTCATCGGGGTGTTTTGAAATTAGCTGCGATTCCAGAATAACCAGATATGTTGGGCACATAAGAGGGTATGCGCCCACAAACGAATGCTTGGAGTTGCCCTCGATGCGTTTCGTCCACCGTAAGGACATGTCCAACACTTGGCAGTTTTTACTTAAATGCTTTTAGTCGACTTTGAGGTACCTCATGCTTTTTTTGTCACATTCACTGTGAGCATTTTCTTGCGAGACTTCCCTGTAGCTGTCGTGTAGTTTTATCTTTCTTCCTAATAAATAAATGTACATCTTGGGTTGCTTTTCATTTTAACCATGTTGTTTATTAAATCTGCCTCTGTTGGAAAGCCCTTTCGACAGCAAGGGCGTCTTGCATCCTGTGACTTTCCAATCACCTTGAAGGAAATGAGAAATTATGGGCAAGTTTTAGCTCAACAACTGTTGGTTACCTATTAGTTAGGTCACAAGTGAAGAAACTCTTGTGCTGGCTTGTAAAGTTGGGAGGTGGTCTAGTTGCCTGGGGCCAGTAAACACACAGCCTGAGGCAGAAGCAGTGTGCAGACACAGGAAATCTCAGTGATTGAATGTTTTGTACACTCAAAGAAAAGGGAACTGTTGGAGCTGTTCTTTCAGATATAGGTTACTGGAGAATGGTTTTATTCCTCCAGCCCACTTAAGATCAAATTGGTCTGAATTGGGAGCTTTATTGAGGAATATAGGGCTCAGACTGGACAAACAGTGAATTCAGATAATAATACCATGACTCCGACAATTGCAACAAGATGAGTGTGAAGGTGTTGGACTAAATGAATAAATAAGGGATACCTGGTTACGATACATACAGTAAATAAATGGGAACTTGACAGTGTTGTGTAAATGGTATATAGACAACAAAACGGTGTATACAGCTCGATTTGGTTCAGCAGCAGTAATAATGGATGTTTTAAGTACAAACACTATGAGAGTGTTGGTGTTACAGAGTGACGGCCTGTGGGAAGAGACGATCCAGGTGTCTGCTTGTTTTGGCATGAAGTGCTCTGTAGCACTTACCAGTGGGGAGGAGTTGGAACAGGTTGTTTGCGGTATGTCTGTGAAGGTTCTCAGGTTGTGATAGGTCTGCAGTAATTTCACCTGCTTGTTTCCTGACTCTGGATTTGTATGCATCCTGCATGGAGGATGGGTCGACACCAACGTTTGTTTGTTTTACCTGCAGACCCCAGTGTCTGTTATAGTCTGGTCTCGTCCTGTTAAATCCAAACCATACAGTAATGTTTTTCAGAGTGCAGAGAATGAACTTCTTGCAAAAGCTCAGGCTGTTCATCCTCTGCTGTGTCTTCTTGATGATTTTGTCTGTGTTGGATTCTGGGAGGTTCTGGATCCCAGAAACTTGAAGGTTTCCACAGCACACACAGTGATGCTGAGTAAGTAATTCCTGCCCCTGTGGCAAACATTACGTCTTTAACACTGGGACGCGTCGTGTCACTTGAACCAGACATGCACCTCTAGATTTTTGTAACCTGAAACATTGTGCAGATGGCTTGAAGACATGAGTGTAAGATCATTTAAGTTTTTAACGCCATTTTAATGATGTTCCATTGCAGATGCTCAGAGATTCAGTTACCTAGAGGAATATGTTTCAACAGTTTGAAAATATGAGACTTTATGGAAACCCCCCCCAGAAAAGTTCAGCAATGTCTTTGCATCTAGTTTTGACTTCTCCTCTGATATCAGCTCTGTAATTGGCAGTATTTTCTGAGTGGCGACTCCTACTGTTGAGGAGAATACTGCAGTGCCTCAACAGTGAGTATAAATGGAATTGTCTGTAACCGTTGCGGAGGGTGTACCGGCACCTTGAGGCGAGGGGGAGGGGTGGGGGTGTGCTGAACAGCTCCAACTGAAGTCTCCACATTTCTGAGCATATTCAGCTCAAGATTGTTCTGATTACACCACAGGGACAGCTGTTCAACCCCACATCTGTATGGAGAGTCATCAGTCATGTCATCTGCACATTTCATGATTTTGACCTACAGGTCTTTAGTGATGCGGTTGTTTGTGTAGAGGGAGAGGACACAACTCTTGAGGCCACCACAGCTGATTTTTCCAGGTGCTGGATGTGGTTCTCCTCAGCGTCATCTACAGCTTTTGCTGTCTGTGTCTCAGGGTCCAAAACTGGGCTATGAGGACCATGACTTCTGACTGCTGCAGTTCTAAACTGGTCCTGGGTCTGAATGGTTGTCTCTCTCTCCCTGTGTTAGCTCTGCAACGCCGCCAGCTGTCATGGAGAAATCTGAAAACGTACTGAAAATCTATTTTCATGATTTGAAACCCTTAAAAAGCACAAGCACACTCTTTTCTCTTTCCACAGAAGGTGACTCCAGATGGGGAGCCCACCAGCTCGGCCCACCCGGCTCGATTCTCCCCAGATGACAAGTTTTCCCGGCACCGGGTGATATTGAAGAAACGCTTCAACATACTGCTGACCCAGCAGCCCAAGCCTGTCATGTGAGGAGGAGGAGAAAGACATACCAGGATGGAGCTACAAGGAGAAGAGCGAGAAAACACCTGAGCCGGATTTAAAGGACTGCTCGTACCCTCTATTGATGCGATGATGGAATTTGTTCATATTTTTTTAAGGGTGGCGGTTTTTAATTTGTTCATGCTAAATAAATCTTTGTGTCATAGCTCCTCACGTGTTGCCTGTGTGTCTAAAATCCAGACTGGCTGACAGCTTGTTGGACAAATGAAGCATTTAAATGCAGATAGTCTTTAATGTGTCACCAACCTACCAGCCAGGGGGCGCTGTAGTATGAAGGTTGTCCTACAGGATTTCCCTATATCCAAAATAACACGATCACGTAATTTGTGGCATTATGAAAACACACAGCTGATGATAGATTTGAGGAAGCACTTTAGCTGAGCCTGCAGATTTTCTCCATTTGTTTCCCAAGACAGCCATAACTTCCTCTCAAAGCTTTCTTTTTTTAAAAATCATTCTTTTACTTTTGCAGCCAAACACTGGATCGATTTGTAGATATACGACAGCCAGGTGACTCTTTGTGTGTGACTGCACAGGGTTTTTTTTTTGTTTGTTTGTTTTGTGTTGTTTTGTTTTTTTTAATATATCTTTTGTCCACCTGTCCCACATTCTGATTGGCTCCATTTTGAAATTCAGTGCTGTTAGAGAAGACACTTTAAGTCCTGACTGGTACTGAGTGGCTGTGATCAGAGGTCTCCAGCAGGTTAACACTTCACTTGTGTTTTGCTGCTGACAACATGTTAAAGGTGGAACTGCAAGGGACTCCAACATCACAAGATGTGTGCACAACATGATGCAAACTAATAGAAAGGAAATGTAGATGTCATGGTGTTGTACCTTGGAGTAAACAAGAGGATATTATTAAAAAAACAAACTCAAACAGTATTTATGCTATATGTTGATTACTGCTTATTTAAAAGAAGCCAATACAAAGAACTGGTACAAAGCTGACCTCCAATTGTTAAATAATGGATGGACATTGTGAGGGAAGTCACCTTTATGTCAGCTGAATAATGTGCTACCTTTTTCTAACTTAGATGGATTAGAGAACTATAACTTGGTGAATAGTTTTTTTTTTTTTAAAGAATTTGTCTGCTTTCTTAAAATGTGACAAAGTTTAGAAAGGAAAAAAGTTGTAATTCAAAAAAGTGCATTTGGACTGACACCCATATTTTTGTGGGAAACAAACGGCAGTTATTCAGACCAAAAGGAGAAAAGTACTAAAATTCACCTCCTTATGTTCATTGAATACTGCTAAAAAATTTAATTTAAATTAAGGGACCACTCAGTCATCACAAATTAACCCAAAGTCAGTTAAACTTCAGGGAGATCAGAGTGTACGGTTTGGAAACATAAATCATTTGTAGAAAGCCAATAAGAGGAATGGTTTCTCAGACTATTGCTCTTTCCTTATCCCTCCTCACTGCCGTTGTCACTCCTGTTAGCCTGAGGGATCACCTTGCATGATTAGATGATGAATGGTGTCCTGCTGGATCTTCTCCCAGTCCTAGATCAAGATATCTGTGGGCTCCTGCACAGCATTTCTGACATGATGAAAGGTCTGGGCTCCGCTCTGGGGTGTGTGAGGGACAGTCACACCCAGAATCTGCCTGCACACTCTGATCACAAGAGGCCTGATATCTTCCCACATGAGATGAACCCTGGGTTTACTGCATCAGCATAAGGTGTGAGGATTTAACCCCAGCACATTTTTGACCTATTTTCAGGCTGACTCTTATAAAGACAGATTAACATGCCTGAAGTTGAACCGTTTTACACTGAAATGATCAAGCTTTCCCTTCATTTTCTTGAGCCATATATTTACTTAGTACTTATATTTACTTAGTCAGATTAAAATCAAATTACCCGTAAAAAGTACTTAAAGCTTTCCCAGCAGAAAATACAGTGAAACAATGGAAAGAATTTATTACTGAAGTATTTTTAGAGGAACATACAATTTAATTCAGAAAATAGCAAAGGGCATAGTATTTCAGATATTTAATTTTACATTCTTGAATTGTTAATGCACCGATAATTTATGTAAGTTACATATTTTAGAGCCAGGTACTGGTTCCCAATATGTGGATTTGGGCCTAGTCCAAAGGGTCAGACGATAAGTGTGAGGAAAGAAGCAAAACTAATGTTAGCTGACAGAAGTACTTAAAACGTATTTTTAATATGGCAAAGTAACTAGTAGCTACAGCTTGCAGATAAATATAAATAAAAGTACCAGAAATGTATCACAAATAGCAAAAGAGTGTGTAAAAAGTAAATCGGTATTAAATCTGGTATTGATCAAAAATATATTTAAAGAAATAAGTGATGCATTTCATATTTTTAGCAGCACTGTTCGTGTTCACTGTTCGATAGCTAGCCGCTGTCTACTCGAACTACATTTCCCAAGTAGCTTTTACCCCGTGTCTGTCACTACGCATGCGCAAGACATTGGAGCGACGGCGAGGAATAGAGGACCCCCCAGGCGCTCGCGCGTGTGTATGGTTGAGTCGATTGAACAACCAAAAAAAAAAAAAGTCCCGAGAAAACCTGGGAGACACTCCCAAATTTTTAGTGATTTAAAACAGCCATATGTGCATAGGGCCACATGGAAGCCAGAGCCAGGTATGTGTTTCATGTGATAACTGTCTGAACTCCGGGCTTTTTCTCTATCGGTGAGGCAGCCGGGGCTCCGCGGAGTTGACAGTTTATGGCACGGCTAGCCGCTGAGCTAGCTTCGGTTAGCCGCGCCGACTGTAGACGAGCGGCTTCACCCGATACGACCTCCACGTATGAGTGTGTGTATTTGTTACCACCTATGGATATCTGGTTGATGGGTCGGCGCTGGGCGTGATGCTCTTCGACACAAGACGCTTGGTTGAAAGGAAAATCACAACTTTGTGAGTAACGAGCCAATTACCCGGCCGGTTTATCCCGGAATAACCACACGTTTTTGGACGTTTTTTTTACGCCTTATTTTCAAGCCACTCTTAAACATATCCCCCACGTCGTAAAAATCGCTCTTCACGAGGTTTGAGTTAATGTCTGCTTGGCATTTTATCCTAACGCTGGCTCTGGCCATATCGTGTCGTCTGCAGGTGTTCAGTGACCGGTTCGAGCCAGAATTATTATGGCCAGCTTAATTGGCTTACAATGGGCGGTGGTTAGAGAGGCGAGCATCCCAGCCAGCTTTGATTTCCCTAAACTGGTTAATTAAAGACTTTTCTTAATTGGTAAAGGTGTGTTTGGCCATGTCCTCGTCTCTGGATCATATTTGCTTACAGCCGCATTACCCTCGTGATGGAGGCTGCCTGCCAAAAGCGCAAGAGGACCTAATCTCCCTAATTTGACTGTAAAGTTCCTTAACGATAGTAAAATTAAGGCAGTATTTTCACTTAATTGATCTCAGACCTGGGAAAATCTTGAACTAGGTGAGGTTAAAGCTAGTTACTGCTAATTTAGCTAAAAGAATAATCTTTAGTCATGGCGGTTAGATATGTTTAGGAGGTCAGGTAGCCTCACAGATATTGATCTGGGAGCTTGGCAAACTAATCCATGATCATTAATACTGGCCCACATTGGTAGCAAGGCATTATGACTGTCTCCTGATGCAAAGGTAACAGCTTAAAATACAAAAATAGGCCCCGAGTTAGCAGGAAAAAGGAACAAAATGTGCTCAATCCTTATGCTTGGACAAAAAAGGTGGCTGAATATGCTGTAATGTTATCTAAGTAACACACATAAGAGTAAATGTGTGTGTTTAACATATTCTTTAAAGGAAACCAGAGCCAGGCATTCGTTTCAAATGACTAATGTTTGAGCTCTGAGGGTTTGTCTTGGGCATTTGTAAGTGTTGATAAGGCAGCATTAATAAAAAATGACCAACAAAGAGGCACCAAAATTTTAGTGGCACTGCTTGGGTAAAGGGTCACTGTAAATAAATCACTGCTCAGTGAAAATATTGTAAACTGTATGCAGTAAAACAAGTGAAAATCAGTCAAACTAATGTACCCAAAAGTGCAGTGTTAAATATTCCAAGGTTAAAGCAATGCTATGTGTATTATAGATAAAATATTATAAGTAAATCCAGGTGTAATGGGAAGTTTGATGGCCACAGGTTGGAATGATTTTAGGTTTTCAGGTTTATTTATAAATGTTCTAGAGCCAAAACGCAAGAATTCACCTCTAAGTGCTTTATATTGTGAGATAACTAGGGCTGCACGATTTTGCATAAAATGAGAATCACGATTTTTTTTGCTTTGAATTGAGATCACGATTCTCTCACGATTTTCTTTTCCAGTATAAATATTTATTGCACTTATTAACTGCACATCAACTTCGTAACAGTTGAGACTGAACATAAAAACAATAAATAAACATAAAAACAACAAATGTCTCACGTTTTGTTGTTGCCGCAAAATGTTGTACTGCTTGAAATTCCGTCTCCGTTGCTGGACGCTGCGTGTATAGAGCAGGTAGTGCAACAATAGAAAAATAGTTGCGGGACGGCACTGTGTAGCGTTTGTCTAGGGTGTTGATCATTTTCCTAAATCCCTCGTTTTGCACAGTGTTGATGGGAGCCATATCTTTGGTCAGGTGATAAGTGATGGCCTCCGTAATTTCTTTGTGCCTGCGGGAGTTCGACGTGTATAGGGAAGCGCTGTATAAGGTTCCCGTTATTGATGTTTGGTGGTTGACCGTCCCGGTCCCGTCCCGGTCAACTACCCATTTTCTCCTGTCACTTTCTGAAAACTCCTAAACCAAATGACTCTGTATGAACAAGTACTTAGTGATAGTGGGGAGGAAAGACTCTTGGGATGAAGACGGACCAAAAGAGACACATGATTAGTACCTTCCAACTAGTGGATGACCTGCTCTTTCTCCTTCCTCGTCCTCTTCACATTGCTGGGGTTTTTTTTTTGGTTTTTTTTGTTTCTTTGTTTTTTAAACCAAGCTGTTGTCGGTGAAAACATCAATCTGGAGGTTTCAGAACAAGATTTCAGAAACAAGCTCATGACATCATGATCACTACGTCATTCTTTTCTACTGTCTATGAAGCCAACATTGGCAGTCACATAAAGGTGGTCATCAACTGGATAGGTCAGCCCAGGGCTTCCCAGTCTAGCTACTTTGGAAACTCGTACTATCTGCGCCCTGAGGTTCAAGTGTTCTTCTGGGAATAGTGATGCTATTTCCCAGGGATTCCATGGTGGTGGTCAGTATCATATAGTTGGTCTTGTCACATGTCGGGAAGCTGTTATTTCACTTACAAGATCATTGAACATGCAACAGTGAGGGTTACAGATGATTTATTTTACCACAGTGGTGGATCAGTATCATCACATATTTGAAGCCAAAGTATCTGTGTTATATCAGAAGTGTAATAAACTGTGCATCTGTGGATTGAGGCATTCTCAGCAGGGATGGATATATTTGGGTGGATATCCAAGCATTTATCAGTTCTTCTGTCTCGTTCTTTATTGATTCTTTTATGATTAATTGTGGAAAAATTTAAGCCTCCACAGGTTTGGAGAATCTGCAAAACTCTAAAGACAAGTAACAGAATTTGATAAAATCCTGCATGTGACTCAGGCATGCGAAAGCTCTGCTGCCATGAGTTTGATGGCGTCATTTAGTTACGCACAACTGTGAGAAAAACACACTGACACTGATAGAAGCATCTGATAAGCCTAGAGACATACAGCTCACATGGACTGGGTCATTTTGGAATCAGCCCTCAGTGGCAGTTTTAAAGGCCACTGCTTGCTCGTTGACCACAGCATGGTCACTGAATTGTTTCTACATTGCTCTCTGTATGTTGGCATCGCTACACATCAGCGTGAACTTAAAGTTGGGTTAGATTTAGACGGGTGTGTTGATCTCTAGTAGGAGGCAAGGCTCAGTCGTCTATCAGTGAATGTCAGACTGAAGATTGAGGTAGTAATATCAGCGCTGAGGCTCTGACATGTTCTGCCAGCTCATTCTATCACCTCACTGTACGTTGTGTGCTGGTGAGTTATAATGGAAACTAATTTAGGTGTAGCTCAAATATGGCTGGAGGAGGCTCACGAAAATAACCTCACGCCCGCCTCAGAGCAGATGCTTTTCACGCTGCAGCTTTCTTTATCTTTGAGAAACCCCCCTCCTTACCCCCTCTCCACCCATCTCGTCCACTTCTGAATGCAGACTGACAAAGACTGTTAGACGGGTAGCGTTATAAAACAGGAAAGAGAGGCCACGTCTGTGAATGCAGAGTGAGAAAAAACAGCCAGGAGCTACTGGCACAACCGGTTGGAACCGCTCTCTTTTAATAATTAAATTATGATTCAAGCTAAAACAACAATTCAGATGCACAATGTCCACCTGTGCTGGGTCACTTCTTTCCCTCAGGTTAGTTAGCACACTGGATATCTAGTTCACTAACCACTGAAGGCGCTGGACAACAGTGATGTTCACAGTGCTTACTGTTTCACACCTCCTTTACTTAGAGAGCAGTCATGCTGCTCTGAGAAGATGATACTTGTGATGAACAGTCGTTTTCATAGAGTTGTTTCATTGGCATGTAGAGAAATGTGTGGGTTTTTTATGTTGAGTTAAGAAGCACCATGACCGATGCATAGATGCATTTTATGGTACAACAGAAGAAGTGCTTGGTGTTAACACACACTGTATATAAAAGATGGACACATCCAGCTCTCCCTCATTGGTTTATGGATGCATTTAGTATTTTAGCTGCTGTTATTATCTTGTTTTTTTTCAGATTTCTTTCAGTTTGTTTGTTTCTTTTAAATTTAATTCTGCTTTATGTTTTTCCCGTCTGTCTGTACCCCTCACTGTACCACTTTCTTCCCTTCCTTTGCCCTGGCTCTGACCTCTGTGTGATATCATTATAAAGACATCTTTACCTCTAAGGTTGCTTGACAGACAAGTTTTACTTATGATTACTTGAGAAATAGCAGAGAAAGACAAGTTTAATGCACTTGACTGCTGAGCCATAGGAATTGAAACAAAGTGCAGGTAGAAGAGAGAACGCACTGAGGGCAGTTTAAAGATTTAGCTTGATAATAAAAGACAGCCTCAGCTGTTTGTGTCATATCATGTCTCAGTTTTTATTCTACACATTCCCAAATTTATAGCCAGGGATTTGATCATTTTGTGCTTGTGTCACTGGAAACATTTATTTGTTGTACCTTTTCTTTCACATGCCGTGTGGAAGAAGTCTAGTTTGCTTAAATGGAGAATTTCAGCGTCAAAAGGGCAAATTGTAGAGGACGCCATTACCTCAGCATCAACTGCAAAATAGCCTAGCTTAGCTCAGCTCAGCTCAGCCCTGCTGGCCAGTCGGTGACTCCTCCTTCCCCTTCCCTCTTCTCCCACATAGTGCCCCTCCACCCCTGTCTCTTTCAAGTGAGCTATAATGGCATCGGTGCGCTTCACCGTGACGCCCACTAAGGCGGAGGACCTCCCAGGGGGGTCAGACCTGTCACCTGACATCAGCCTGCGCTCCGGTTCCCGTGTGCGCTTTGAGTCAGACAGCGCCAACCGAAGTGACCCACTAAGCGAAGTTTCTGGAGGTGTGACGACGACTTCTGCAGGAGGAGGGGCTGACACCCCGGATCACAGCAGCATAGACCAAGGTGAGGATACACACACCTAACACAAAGACATTTCTTTTTAACTGATGGTGTTTATTCTTTATTCTTGAGACATGACAGCTGTCACGTCCTCTTTGAAGTTTCTTCATTGGCTGCATTATGTGTGACAGGCCTGTGCAGTGACCATGATTTAACCATCGGAAAAGGGGGACTGGGATCAGGCTTATGTTGCTTAAGTCAGTGTGTTGTTTCCTGGCTTTTGCTACATGATGACTGGTTTTTAAAATTGATTCTGATAAGGTTTGATTGATTGATTTTTTTATTATTTTTTTTGTGGAAAAAATTTGACCTACCTAACTTTTCAGCTCGGTGTCTGAAAACGGTATGGCAAGAGAACAGAAAAAAGCTTTGACATGTCACTTCCTATGTGGCATGATGTCTGCGTCATTGACTTTGCAATGTCCAAGTGTCAGAAAAACATCCAGGCATCGACAAAAGATATTGATGAGTGTTTGAGGCTTATGACTATGAAAAGACAGGGCAGTTTGGATCCAGTTCCACCTGATTTCCAACCCTAGTCTGCTTTTTTTTTTGTTTTGTTTTGTTTCTGAATTTTACTGTCTAGTCTCTAATGCCAGTCCTTTTCCTGTCTTACTTTAGCCCCAGTTCAGTTTGTTTTAGTTATTTGTATATATCCATATATCCACACATTCTCTGTAAAGTCAGTTAAGTTGTGTTCAAGTTCATGCAGTTCACTTTAGTTCAGTTCACTTTGTTTTTGTTTTTATACCTCCAGACAGCAGCAGCAGACATCTCAGGGAACATAGTAATGTGAGATAAAGACTATGCAATATTAGAAAGGGAGCTGATAAAGGTGCTTCTGTGTCTGCTTGCTAGATGCTTTTTTTTCCAGGTTCAAGCATTTACTATGTTGTTATTCTTGGATCTTTTTTTAGTTGTCATTCTCAGGCCTTTACAGTTTTATAAGCACTAGTTGGGCTTTTAGTCCAGATTTTTATATTGATTGATATCCAATTTGATATTGATATCTATTGATTTAAAAAAAAAAATCTGATATCAGCTGATATTCTCTGTTTTGCTTTTGTTTTTTCCCTTTTAGACACACAACATAAACAGAGTTCCCTCACATTTGTTATGTGTAGTCATTTATGAGTCCTTACTGAGATATTACGACTCGCAGCTCTGCTCGACACCACTTGGATCAGCTGGGTTGTTGTTTGTGGCGTTCCAAACACGAGTTGTCTAGAGGACGAGTGCCCCCTCTGGTGCACAACCAAAACTACAGTCATAATGTGTTGAATGGTGTTTCTCTCATCTCTCTTCATTTATCTGCCATTTAAAAAGCAATACTGATATATCAGCTGTTGACATTGTTGAGATTGTAATTAATGTTCCTGACAGGGATCAGTGGGCACATTAAGGTGAGGATGAAGACTCATTCATCGCCATTGTTCTGAACCATGCTGTAGCATGTTAATTAAGTCATGAAGGCATTTGTAGAGGGTGATCTTCAGCATGTACTTCCTTTGTACTGTATGTTTGTGTATGGGTTTTTTGTTTGTTTGTTTTTCTTTTGCCTTTTTAAAATTTATTCTTTGCTTTGTTGCTTTTTCTTAATCCAGAATTGCTAGTTTGATTTGATTTGAACAGGAAGAGCAGGGCACCCGCTGGGCGTGGGTTCATGAGGGGAACATTAGTTATGATGGCTCATGTTAAAACTAATGCTGAATTCCTATGCAACAAATTCCCACACATGAACTAGTGAGACTGGTTTTCACCGGACACAAAGAAAGGTCTTCTACAGCTTTTTTTGCCCAGACTGTTCATTTTCTAGGAAATAAAAAGGGAAATGCTATTTTTAGATTCTTGAGATGTGCTCATGCATGTCTCAAGTTGAAAAATGCATTTTTAAATAGGTTTTATGGCTCTCTGGGCTGTTAAGCTCTCCATTTGTTTTTTTTAAGTGAGAACTTGAGGCCAGAGTGCTCCCCTCAGGGCTAGTCAGCCAATTGAGCAACAGTTGAACTTCACCATTATTGCGGTTAGCAGAAACTGAGAACAATAAGAGGATTTCATTCTGTTGTGATTGTAGCGCATGTTCCACTTCCCTTACTGCCACATCAGTTCTGAACTGATTCACTTCTTTCCTTAATCACAAACCCCTTCACATGCACAGATATGTGTGTTTTCAGAAGAATCCAGAAGAATAGAGGATAATGGTAAACGGCTTCCATTTTACTGATGTGACTGTGCAGGTGTCAAAAGGGGTTATAACCGTGCAGAGATGATCCGGTAAAGCTCTTGCATAGTAGTAAGCATGGCCCACGCTCTTTAATAAGCTTCCATAAATAGATATTAAGCCAGTTAACCCGACTGAGTTTCGGTCAAGCTTTAGTGATGCTGCGGTGGCCGTTTGTGAGTCTGTGCAGAAATAGCAGAGCAAGCGTGTTAGAGGAAGAAAAATGCTGTTGTAGAAGTAAATGAGCCAAAGTCCTGAAAGACAGGAGGTGTGGAGAGTTATTTTCAGAAAGGTCATAGACTCTGTGATCCATTAATGTTGACACCGATAAAGTTCCCTACTGAAGCATGCATATAGTCCACACACTGCTACATCTGGCTCCAGTAACTTTCTGCTCCACTGACTGTACGTTCTCACACACACACACACACACACACACACACACACACACACACACACACACACACACACACACA